ATATATATATATATATATATATATATAACTCCCAAAAAAATTATCCTTTGAAATATGTGGAAAGACTGGATTTTGAAGAGTCCCTTAATGCATTGATGTTGGAGTACCTTTCATTTTACGAGTTGTTTTTACCCTATTTCGTTTAAGATGATGAAGGACTGGTAGTTGAATTTGCTCGCAATGATATGAGTACAGCTGAGTTCAGACAGCCAAACAGTGATTTTGATATTTATCAGTGGCCAATTAAGAAACAGGTAAGGAAAAAAGGGGGGAGCAGAATTTAGGTCAGTAGCCCTGCAAACGGCATCTAGTACCGGTGGTGGAGATGATTACGTTTCATTTGTAGCGACACACTCATAGGCGACATTCGAGGAAATGAGAGCACATAATTGTGTGAATAGGTGGATTGGCCATATGAAGTGGAGTTGAGAGAACCAGGTGCGACATTAGAAGGTAGAACGAAAAATAGGGATGAGGAGTGATGCGACAGCAGTTGAATAGAAAATTGGTCAAGGGGATTGCCTTTATTTGTCACTGATAAGTTGTAACTCTATGCTTATGATGCCGGCGAAACGTTTGGGAATATACCGAGTCAATGCTCCAATACTGGAAATCACGAATACTATGGCAGAGGACACGGGACTAAGTACGTTACACAATGTATCCCTGACTCCCCGACCAAATTGCAAAAACAAAATCGAACCAGTACTATAGAGCTAAAGGAGACTGTGACCAAACAGAAAGCCACACTATCTTGGTCTTCATATCTACGACTCCAAGTGAGACTACCATTTACTGTTAGTTTCGAAATCCTACTCATCTTTCATTTTGTTTGAAGAGGTGAGTGGAAGGGATTCGTAAGTTGGCCTTACTCGAAGGTGTAAGAGGATTGCCTTGGAGATGTGACTAGATTTGCGCGAATAGACCTTATGCTCACCGCCCTGTGACACCGATAAATCCTTTCTGATACTTATCGTCTTTGCGCCTGGTAAATGATCTTAAAACATGATGTCCTGTTCTGATGATGCCCGTCACATGACGGACGAAGGCTCAGCAAAGATTCATCGGGGTCGCAGGTCGGTGTGCCGAGGGCCTATTCGTACAAAGCAATCCCTATAGTTTCCGGTGAGGCCAACTTACGAATACCTTCCACTCTCCTCTTCAAACGAAATGAAAGCTACTCCAACACTATTATCTGAAAGTCGGCTCTTTAGCCCCCATACAAGGCAGGACTCATCGTTCTTGAATTCTAATTTTCGTTTCCTATTACCCCATCAAAAATGATCAATGCTACAGCGATCATTCAGTCACTTGGGTTTTTCTGGCCGGTATTTGGATCAGTTATTGTAATCTTGGGATAATGCTTGCTAGCCGCTTCCTGTTGGTTTTACATAAGAGGTTGTTACTATAGCGTGAATTAGTCTAAATTTGAATTTGAATTCTTCATTACGTTTGGATGTTTTTCATTCATCCTAAATTTAACACAGCTCTAAGTATAGCAGATATTAATTTTGGCTTTTTTTTCTTCACAATCGTTGCAATCCTCATGCTTTATTCATCGAACTTAACTATATAGCTTTTTCCTAGCACAATCCTTATTGACATAAATTACTCGTCTTGCCATCCTGGGCCTCTTTTGATCGTACCTAACCAATTCTACCTTAATCCTGTAGCTTAAATGAGATTTAAAACCAACTGTTCCTAACTTGGATAAATTCGCCTTAAGAGCTTCTTTGGTGGTAATTACTTCTACATTAAGGAATTGTAGCAGTTCACTCTCCCCATTTCCATCATGAATATCAACTTTTTGTCAAAGGGGTCTTATAAAGTTAAGAATGACATAACTTTTCTGCTGTGTATCCAGAGTTAGCAATATTCGTCCAGTTGAGCGAAATTTAATAGGTAAAAGCGAAGGCCCTAGTAAATTTATCAGCTTTGTTCAAGATGCTCGGAGGTGCGAAGGTAGAAGAATGTAATTATTATACTAAACTGACCCAAGGGGACATGCACCGTAAAATTTTCTGGACTAGCAGAGGCTAGTATCCGCATAGGGTCTCAGCGAAACGCTAATTAATTCACCTGAAAAGATTTCGACAGTATAGGATGCAGAATGTGCTCTTTCAAGTCTACCAATAAATACAATCAAGTTGCGAAAATGGCGTTATCACATCTTCACACTGAAATTTTCATATCATCATCATCATCATCTTCATTATAATTATTTATTATTCATCGCCAGCTACCCTTTGTTTTATTTCATTTACTCACCGATGGCTACACTCAACCTTTTTTGTTTCTTGCATAATTTTTGCCTTGGTCAGCCTTGCTCAGCGTCTGTCGGCATTTGTTCGTGATTCGTCTATCTGCGTCACAGTCCACTGGAACATTTCGAATTCGGCATTTGAGGCAACCGCTCGGCTTACTTTCTTCTGTCTTGGCTACGACGCCTTACGTACCCGACTCTCAATAACTGTGGGCAGTAGCGCTGGCCATGATCTAGACGGTGGGTCCAACGGGGTTGCGGACACTGGAGCTCCTGGTATCTTCGTACATTGTCCTGACCCTCCTCATACCTGCCACCTGGGAACAGATCTGGCTCAGTTGGATGCGCTTCTACGGCACCAGGTATATAGAGCCTTCCATTGTTAGATTGTTACTCTTAGACACATGACTAAATGTGAGGCTTGAAGCGTAGTCTAGCTTCTGAATACAGTTGACTAGCTTTGTACGTGGTCCTAATATTTGATGACAGAAGACGTATATATTAATTCATTGCCTACTCTTATTTAAGTTTGGCTACATTTCCTCTTATTATGCTTTAATGAATATTAAGTGATTAAGGGTGTTTTTTATATTCTGTGTATAATACTAGTAAAAATAATATAATTATAAGCCATTTCTTACTCAAACTTATTTCAACCTCTTAAGTAGCGTTGATTCACACAATTCTGTGCTCTCGTTTCCTCTAATGCTCCATAAGAGTGTGTCGATACCAGTTGGTCTAGTGAAGCGTAATCGTCTTCACTACCGGTTCCAGATGCCATTTGAGAGCTCATAACCTTCATTCAGTCCCCCTTTCTCCTAACCCGCTTGTCAATTGATCTCTCGTTAGGGATTTCACTCTCCCTTTACTTCAAAATTATGACTTGATTATCCTTTTTCTCATCCCCGCCCACAGTGTGTCTCATTCTTAGGGGCCTTGTATCGGGCTTAAATCATAAACGCTGGTGTAAAAATGCACTGCTTCCCTTTTTCCCCTTGAATCGCGAAAAGCACACTCCCATCTAATCCTAGAGTACTAGGATGATGTTCATGGGTATGTTGGCTGGTATCCCTCGTAGTCAAGCATGTCACCAGTCACCTCCCCTTCAGGCACAGACACAAAAAATGCACACAAGCACCCATACACACACACACGCAATACCGGCCTAAATCAGAGTTATCAAAAGGTTACAGTTAGGCTCTGATCATCAACGC